TTGATCTTTTTGGAAGGTGTGTGTCCCGTTACATCTGGCATAAAACCAACGCAGCATTTCATAAAAAGAACATCATACCAACAGTCAAACATGGTGGTGGTGGTAGTGTGATGTTCTGGGGCTGCTTGCCACTGGACGACTTGCCATAACTGACAGAACCATGAATTCTGCACTCTATCAGAAAATCCTGAAGGAGAATATCCGACCATCAGTTTGTGACCTCAAGCTCAAGCGCACTTGGGTTATGTAGCAGGACAATGATCCCAAACACACTTGCAAGTCCACCTCTGACTGGCTCAAGAAAAACTAAATTAAGGTTTTGGAGTGGCCAAGGCAAAGTCCGGACTTAAATCCGATTGAGATGCTTAAACAGTCCATTCATGCTCGAAAACCCTCCAATGTGGCTGAATTAAAACAATTCTGCAAAGAAGAGTGGGCCAAAATTCCTCCACAGCGATGTGAAAGACTCATTGCCAGTTATCGCAAACACTTGATTGCAGTTGTTGTGCAAAGCGTGGAACAACCAGTTATTAGATTTAGGGGGCAATTACTTTTTCACGTAGGGCCAGGCAGGTTTGGACAGCTTTTTTCCCTTAATAAAATAATCATTTAAAAACTGCATTTTGTATTTACTTGCATTATCTTTGTGTAATATTAACATTTGTTTGATGATCTGAATCTTTTAAGTGTGACAAATATGCAAAAAATTTAAAAACCAGGAAGGGGGCCAACACTTTTTCACACCACTGTAAATCTATGGTTTGTCAAGAGCAATTCTCAGGGTTGTGTCATAGGAAAACCTGGAAATAAAGATGGTAAATATTACTTTTTTGGATATAGGCCTGGAAAAGTATTTTTCCTTTACTAAATTTCATGAACAAGGTATTGCTCATTCAGTTTCCCAATTGAATTGCATTCTAATCTCAGTACGTTTATGTAATCGTGGAGACATTTGTATACTAATTATTATAACCTAATAATAATTTAGCTGGTTCATTTGAAAGACTGATGCCTGACAAATGGAAATCGTCATCAATGATCTGTATAGAATTTGTGTTATTTATTGTTTATTCATTTGACATTGTTGCATCGTCACAAAAGTTTAGCATTTGCATGTCTTTTTAGGTCTTGAATTAATTTTTTTTAGCAATTTTAAACCATTTAATCATAATAAGCTCAATTCGGTGCACATGCACTATTTGACAGACTGTTTTCTTTTTTCTGTTGCATTTATTTGTCCTATTGCTTGTAATTTGTTCTATTTTATTACTGACTGTTGTTGATCTTTACATTTTATAGTTGTTAGACTAATATTTTCGCTGTGATATCGAAATTGTAATGGACGATTCTGAAAACTCGCAAGTATCTAAAGTTTTGGTGTTGTAACAATCTTTTAGTAGAATACAAGTAGGGCTGGACAATAATTAAATATCAATATGTATCGCGATATAATTTTTTTCAATAACGGTGATATGATTTTTAAACACATTTTCGATATACATTACCAGTGTTTCCCATAACATACATTGATTTATTTGTGGCGTTTGACTTCGTTGAATAAACATGAGCACTGCACGTTTCAAAATCAAAATATATGATCGTTTTATATGAATGTATCTCTGAAGGGAAACGACTGTCTTCAAAATAGTTTAGATGGCATTTTTATCTGATAAAGTAGCGTTTAAAGGTTAAATAATAGAAAGGTTTTGTAACATTATACACTATACCATTCAAAAGCTCTTTTTAAAATTTATATTATAGAAATTATTACTTTCATTTAGCAAAGATGTTTTAAATTGATCAAAAGTGATGATAAAGACATTTATAATGTTACAAAAGATTTCTATTTCAGATAAATGCTGTTCTTTGATATAGTTTTATAGGAGTAGGTTTCATAGAGTTGGCAAATACATTTTTCATAAGTTTGTAGGTACAGACATCTGTTGTGGCCGTTCTTGGCCGTTTTTATGAGGCTTTTTTAATAGTGTTCATATCGATATCGGAATTATATCGTATCGACCGAAATTAAGAAATATACCGTGATATAAATTTTGGCCATATCGTCCAGCCCTAAATACAAGGTTATATGGGTCAAATTTTTTATTATTATTATTTTCAGTGGTGTATAAAGTACCTGAAAGCCATACTCAAGTAAAAGTACAGATATCCTACCAGAAAATGACTTTGGTATAAGTTGAAGGCACCATTTAGAATATTACTTGAGTAAAAGTCTTAAAGTATGTGATATTTATTGTACTTGCAGTCACAGATGAATAAATAATGTTTTGTTTTTAACATAAAATGCTGAATACTGTTATTTGAAATTATTTTAAAAACATAAAAAAATAGTCGAAATGTGCAATTAAAACCGCAAGTAAGTGACAGCAAGTGACTGTTAATGAGTGAGTCATTGAGATTCAACCGATTCATTCAAACGACTGATTCATTCAGAAACAAAGCATTTGACTGTGTTGAGTGAATCACTGAATCATTTATTCAACCGATTAGTTTAAAAAGCTGATTCATTCAATAAGTAAACACGTCCATTGCTCAGAGATGCAAAACAGTGCTGTGATCGTTGTTTGGAACTATTTTCGATGGCAAAATTTAGCAAAAACAAGCAATATTATGTCTAAAATGTAAGTCACTTATTGTTTTACTGAACTTGTATAAAATGATTATTAAATATGTTCATGCTGATATCTGCAGAAAAACGGTACTCTTTGTGTGATATAGATTAAGTTAACTATATTAAATTATATAAATATAAAAAACATACAGAAGCATTTTTGCCGTCTACAATTTAGAATGCCTGGAATTTTGAGTTTTAATAGACTAATAAATCAACGTGTGTGCACTCTGTGTGAGATTTGGTGATATAGCCTACTTGATAATGTCCGATCGCACATAATTACAACAACACTTACCATATTATCGCAGATATACTGTATATCGCACACCTGAATGAATCATCCGCGGTTGTGCGCGCACTTGTTTGCACATGAGCAAAGGTGTTTTTTAGGAGTCTAACTGATTCGTCAAACCTGCTTTCCTGCAGTCCGTGTTCTTCTGACTGTTTTGTAGTAAGTAACAAATATGCTTCGGGGAAATGTATTGGAGTAAAAGTATACATTTTAATTAGGAAATGTAGTGGAGTAAATGTAAAAGTTGGCTGAAATATAAAAACCCAAGTAAAGTACCGATACTCCCAAAATATACTTAAAGGGTTAGTTCACCCAAAAATTTAAATTAGGATTTGTTTTACTCGCCCCCGATGCATTCTAGGTGTATATGACTTTCTTCTTTCAGACGAATCCAGTTGGAGTTATATAAATGCTGGCGCAAGCTAGATTAAAGTGATTATTACGTTTTGAATATGGATATTTTTCTTACAATAACACAAAGATTCGCTACAGGAGGCCTTTGTTCACCCCCCCGGAGCTGTGTGAGACACTTTATTTTGTGGAAGGGTGCTTTTTATTTCAGGTCTTTTGGACTGAAGGAATGCAACACCCGCTGAGTACAACGTTAGAGCTTGAAAGATCAAAGACAATTTTTTATATAACTCCGACTGGATTCGTCTAAAAGAAGTAAGTCATATACACCTAGGATGCATCAAGGGTGAGTAAAACACAGCCTAATTTGTATTTTTGGCTGAACTAACCCTTTAAGTACTGTAACGAAGTATTATTACTTTGTTACATTTCACTACTGATTATTTTATTTTTTAGCAGAGTAAATGTAAATTTTGGTAGGGCAAGTACAAACCACTGGGCCAGAAGAAAAATCCTTAATGTTGAATTCTGCAAAAATAATGGTGTAATATCAATGCATATGCCTTGCATTATTAGGACCGAGAGGGACGCCACAAACTGGTCATCAGAGAAGCTGAAGGAGCTGCTCATGGGGTTGCAAGTGGAGAGTGAAGAAGGCAAGTGTGAGATCACAGAGGTCAGCAAGGTGGAGGGAGAAGCATCCATCAATAACCGCAAAGGGAAGCTTATATTCTTCTATGAGTGGAATCTGAAGGCCGCCTGGAAAGGTGAGGAAAGCGATTTGGATCAAAAGATTAATATGGCCAATTTAAAGGGGTCATATGATGTGATTTCAAGTTTTCCTTTCTCTTTGGAGTGTTACAAGCTGATTGTGCATAGATAAGATCCCTGAAGTTGCAAAGACTAAAGTCTCAAAACCAAAGAGATATTCTTTATCAACGTTAAGACTGCCACGCCCCCCTAAAACGGCTCGTTCTAACACGCCCCCACATATCTACCTCACTATGTGGAAATATTTGCGTAATGCGGCCCAAATGTTCACGCAAAGAAAGAAGGCGTGGTTTCAGTAACCGCAGTTAGTGTTGAAGCAGCATGTCAGGGAGACGCTGTGTGTTTCTAGGCCCCTTTAATGTTTAACTGTTTCATTTATTTACGTTTGGTGGCTTTATAAACTATTTACATGATTTGGGCTGTCTGTTCGTATAGGGACATCAAAATCAGGCATCAAATACAAGGGGAATATTGAAGTTCCAAACCTTTCGGATGAAAATGACATGGACGACCTTGATGTAAGTTAAACAAAACATTTTTTGTATTTTTACATATTGTGCCTTCACCAGACTAAGGCCTCAAGGTGCCTTAAAAGGATTTAAAATGAGACAAAACAACTAAAAATCAAGTTGTTTCTAATTTGTTTTAGAATTGTTTTCATTTTTTGTTTTAACTGTTATTACTGAATATTGAATAACTGTTATTTCCACAGTGTTGGAAACCTGGATATATGAGGAAGCCTCATTTTAAAAGTATGATTTCTAGACCTGGATAATTCATGTATTATTAACATCTTACAACTTAATGAGTATTTTTATAATTAATATACATGTTTCTAGTTATGCCAAACTCTAAAATGTTTTGTCAGGTAGAAATTCTGAATATTTTTCTTGAAATCCTTATCCTAAATCCTTATCCAGTAAATCACTCAGAACTGGAAAGTCATGGGGCCTTTAAAAAAAATCTTGGCTTGGAGACAAAAAGGTTCAGAACCACTGATCTGAAGTATCTGAAGCAGATGTAATTTGTTTGTTGATGAATTGAGTAGCTATGCTGAGTATATCTACTATGTAAGTGATGATGTTGAGTCTGAGTATTTTTTTCGGGGTCACTCGCAGATCAGTGTGAGTCTTTGTAAAGATGAGCCCGAGACGGAGCTGCTTTCTCTGATGAGGAGCGAGGGAGTCAAAAAAATCCGCACGGCGCTGGCTAGTTACGTGGACTTCCTCAAAACGGGTAAGTTTCACTGAGACGCCAAAACCAGCACCATGCATATGATAGCATTGCTGCTACTGCATTGTCTGTTGGATGTAGATTGTTATAACCTGTTATTATCTGTTGTAGAGTTCACACAGGGCATGATCCTGCCAACAGCCAATGGCGTGACGAAACAGCAGAAAGCGCAAGCAACAACCAAGTCAAACAAAACTCAGGTGAGCTATAAATTATACTTCTAAATGCTACTATGAATAAATTGATTTGTTTGTTATCCAGTGGCCCCAATAATACTTGAATACTTATGCCACATGGATGTCAATATATCGGCTGATATTCTTTGTGTATATTATAGTACAGTACCAGTCAAAAGTTTGGACACTTTCCCATTCGTGTGTCCAAACATTTGACTGGTACTATATATAGAATACAGTATATACATAAACACATTTTTTGCAATGATCACTCAAATGTGGTGATCAAACACTTATAATGACGTGACAGAGATATGTAATGATGGAGGCAGGGCATTTAACAATTTAACAAACTTTATTATCCAAAATGAGTCTGACATCATTGCACTGAACAGTAAAGTTGAAGTTTATTCAACTTTAATTAAATTCCATTAAACTTTATTCTGTTGAAGTTTATTTCACTTCGGAACATTCATTCACAGATTTGCGTTACTGTCTTCACACACAGATGAAACTTACTAGAGAAGTGTGACATAATATACCTCTGTAAATAAATATAAATTCACGTCTCGCGCACTTTAATGCCCTTTGAATGTAACGTGTACGTTCCCTTGGAACTGGAATCATGGAGCTCGAGGAGCTCTCTCGAACGCCACCCTCCGTGCGTCGGTGGCCCCCCGGGATCGTTCGGTCGGTGCCGGACCGCGAATTTAACCACTTGTAACTCCCGAACCCCGGGGGCTATCGATGCTGGGGTACACTCAATTCGCGCTCGAGAGCGTTCCTCAAACTGAAGGGATCCCCAGAATTTGGTGCAGATTCGCCGCGCCATTACGGAGATCTGGCCGTTCAAAGTTTCAATGGTTTTCCATAGACTTAAGTTTTAAAGCGTTTCATCCAGGTCGCCAGTAGCAAACAATGGAGCATGCTCTGCTGGACAGACTAAGTAATTACACAATTTTATCTGCGTTATATGTTCTGTTAAAAAAAAAGTCATATCGGCGGCATATTCGCCATTACGATATATTGGCGACAGGCTCATATCGGCCGATAATATCGGTTAAACAATATATCGGTTGGGCTCTAATTGCTGCACATTTCTTTGTGAAATTGAAATATAGCAAAACTAAATTGAAATTTTAAAACAAACCCCAAATCAAATAACGAGTTACACAAATAAAAGAAATCTCTTTATATAAACAAAGGCTTTGTCTGTGCTCTTTCCATTTAAAATTAGAGGCAACCACTGCATTTTAATCATGATCCAAACAAATATGCAGCATACATGCAGCATGAGCAGTTTTTAATCTAAATTAGACTGTATAATTTCGAAATTTGAAGCAAAAACAGAATGGTCTGACTTTAGTTTTGTGAAACTATGCTACATAAAACTGAACAACATCTGAACAAAACAGTAGATGAACTGAATGAGATGCAAATTCACTCTCTGCCAGCAGGTGGTGCGTATGAACAGCAATGATGTAGTGTTTCCTGGGTTACCGCTGTAAACCAAGCAGAGCTGCACTTAAGAACACTACTTTAATATGCATCGTTCAGAGGCAAGATGAAAAAAAAAAAAAATACCACGTAAACTTTTCAAAAGACAGTCAGTTCCCCTCAGATATACATTCATATAAACTCCTACTCCAATTGTTTCGCGAATTGTTTGGCATCTCAACCGATTTGAATTGTCACATATTTGAATAGATTTTCAACTGGCTCTCATCGTTAAATCCTTAATTTATGTCTAACCAAATAATTGACATTAGTCGATGTAATATTTGGTGAGTCTATGAAGTAAGCTCTAATTTTGAACATTAAATCTATTTTATGTTATTATCAGTGCTGTCTTTGTACTCTCTTTCACTGCCTTTGTTATATTCTGTTATATAACGCAATGTGAAAATGTGAATTTTAGGACATGTATATATCCATATTTTAAAGCCACAGTTTATGGACCAATCATGTCATGATGTATTGAAAACAATCATTTAAATATGTTAAAAATGTTATTAAAGCTTTGCTACTGAAGTATTTATTATTGCGCTAATACATAAAAAAATGTTTAGTGTTCAAATTCATATTATTGCTTTATCCTGATTCAATCCCGATCATTGTAAGCCTGATAATGATTTGTTTTGAGCAGCTGGGTTGGATTTTGTGGGACAATGTCAGGCTTATGTCATTCATTCTTATGTGTTTGTCATATCTGTAAATACAGAAAACAAGCTCCAGCTTCTATATCGTGTTTGGCTTGAAATCTACAATAAATAGTGTTGTTGTGCAGAATTTTACTTAGTCGACTAGCTAGCATGTAACATGGACAGTTCTTAGGGGCAACCCTCCAATAAATCTGGTCACCTTAATATATGCTTTGTTGAAAATGTTTCAGTGGAGCTTGATGTATCATGACAGATCTGCTCCGATGTGGTGATTAAATGAAACCATTGAGATTCCTCAAAACATCTGAATGTATGATCTACTCTGCAAGTAAAATGCAGTTTTATTTTCAACCACAGATGGTGATAGAGAGGCCAAAGTCCTGCAGGGCAGCTTCAGTTTAAATTTATAATTTGTTTGCGTTTTCAGATTGGCTCATGTAGCCCTGCTCCTCCTCCTCCCAACACAGGGGTAAAAATCCCCACCTGCAAGTTCTCATTAAAGGACACCTTCCTCACCTCACCAGAAGACCTTTACAGGGTCTTTCTCAATCAGGAGGTGAGTCTTTTGCCACCACCACAGCTGACAACCACTGACTCCCTGGGCTTTTATTATTTAATGAGCAGATCATTTCTCATTAGTGATTACATTTGTTTGAGAGGAATGACAAATTGTGTGTTACAGATGGTGCAGGCTTTCACACGCAGCAGTGCTGTGGTTGAGGCTGAAAAGGGTGGAAAGTTTCGACTGTTGGACGGAAACGTGAACGGAGAGTTCCACGAGCTGGTGAGATCTCGGATTCAAATCACATAAAGCATGATGACAGGAGACGCTGTCCTTTAAATTAACAGCTCGGCTAAAAATACTTCAGTGATGATCGAGAGTGATGACTTATGAATTGATTTTTGAAACCATGTGCTGTGGGTTTGACAGGTTCCTGAGCAGAAGATAGTCATGAAGTGGAGGTTCAACTCATGGCCTTGTGGTAAGAGAAATTTGTTCACCCTGCAGACAATTGAGTGACCACACTGGCATTTTCAAGTTTTGCAATCAGATACATTTGTTTAGTGTGTGTTATATCGACATTGTTTGCTATAAATTGAATGTAAACTGTTTTTACTGTATTTTTTTGATCAAATAAATGCAGCCTAAAGGCTTTTTCACACTGAGCGCGATGTGAAAAAGCAAGGCGAATCACCAACGGACTGTGCTTTCACACCAAGTGTGAAACCATTGTTCTCTTTCTGCTAAGTCACACCTACACACTAGGTGGCGCTGACCAATAATGCATTTTTCCTCAGATATGTATCTCATATATGCATTTAACTTAGTCTGCTGCTCAATATACAGCATTAAATTAAGATAGAGGAAGAAATTTTATTTATATAGTCCCTTTCCGTAACTCAAATAAAGTTTGGTTCTACACCAGAAATACAAACTATCTATAATGCTTACCAAAATACATCTTAAAATATAATTACAGTTACAATTAGCATCAAGCTACACTTTAAACTTACAATTTATGTGATTATTAATGTTTTTGGTTAAACCCCACTTTAAACCATAATCGAGTACTTGTAAGAACTTCCGATTGTGATCTAAAGTGGATTTTTATTCTATAATAGGCAGACATGCACTCTTTGTATGTTTTATAATGGATTGAACACTACACGTGCCTATCATTTGTCATAAATATCCTTTATTGTTATGAAAATACCATGCGCTGCATTAAAACCCATACAGAAAATATATGTGTCTATTTGCTTTCATATTTCATGTGTAGAAAAATGTTTCTCTCATTTTTTCATACAGAAAGGCAGGAGATATTATCCCATAATTGACAGATCTTGAGTGAACACGCTCTGACTCATAACACTCACAAGCGTGGAAGAAAACGGACAGTGCTCTTCACATAAGTCAGTGGAGAATTAATAGAAATTATGCTCTGTATAAAGAACAATGATAACCAGATACTATTGATAATAAGAACGCATCCTCTTCTCTCTCAAAATACTCTTCTTCTGTGTTTGTTTACACTGGTTTTCAAAACCGCGCCACCACTCTCACCCTTTTGTGCAATAGCAGCTGCTTCGGGCACGTGATCTAAGCTCAAATCTGATTGGATGGCTGTTTCATCGCAGCCTGATGGGGGAAAAACCGACACACAGGACGGAAAAAAAAATCTTGCTTTTTCGAGCCGTGAATGATCATGCCTGGTGTGACTAGCTCCATAGGGATCTATTGTTTCGATTCAAAAGTGCCATAGCACAGAACATTTGCGCCAAATTTTCGCATTCAGTGTGAAAAGGCCATAAATGGTTAGTTCACCCAAAAATGAAAATTCTGTCGTTAATTACTCGCCCTCGTGTTGTTCCAAACCCGTAAGACCTTCGTTCATCTTCGGAACACAATTTAAGATATTTTTGATGAAATCTGAGTGCTCTCTGACCCTCCCATAGACAGCAAGGTAACTACCACATTCAAGGTCCAGAAAAGTACCAAGATGATCGACAAAGTAGACCATGTGTTACGAAGCTACGAGAATACACGTGCGTTCACGACAGTATCATGACGCGAGCGTGTGGCGGCACTGACCCCAGATGACGTCATCACGCCGGATCTGGGTCAGTGCTGGCACCGCCACACGCTCGCGTCATGATATTGTCGTGGCTTCGTAACTTTACAGATGAACCACTGATGTCACACGGACTACTTTGTCGATCATCTTGGTACTTTTCTGGACCTTGAACGTGGTAGTTACCTTGCTGTCTATGGGAGGGTCAGAGAGCACTCAGATTTCATCAAAAATATCTTAAATTGTGTTCTGAAGATGAACAAAGGTCTTACGGGTTTGGAACGACACGAGGGTGAGTAATTAATGACAGAATTTTCATTTGTGGGTGAACTATCCCTTTTAAGTGAGAGCATAAGCACATTTCTTAAAAAAAAAATCTTAAACCTAAATCTCTTAGACCAGAAACCTTTAAATGGTAGTATAGTTCACTATATGGCAGAAGAAGAATAAATTATGCATGTGGTCTGATATCACAAAAAATATTTTTTGATGCATGCCCCATTATTAATATTGTATTTACCAACTCTCGTTTACTGTCTGACAGCTGACTTTGAGAAACATCTAGCCGATTATCTCTGCTCGTTGTTTACCGTCACTGTCGGTCCTTTCCTTTTTATTTCAGAGCACTATGCGATGGTGACATTGACTTTCACAGACAAGGGTAACGAGACCGAGTTAAAGATTGAGTGTCGGGCGGTTCCTGAGAGTGAAGAGGAACGAACACGAGATGGCTGGCAGAGGTACTATTGCCACGCCATTAAACAGACATTTGGCTACGGCGCACGACTCTGCTGAGCCCAGGATGTAGCGGCCTCCGTTTTCGGCTCTTTTGTTTGTTTAATGGTTTTTATCTTTGTTCATTTGGCTCCACCTACAAAAGAGAGGATCAGAATGTGACTCTACTGAACAGCAACTAAACATTCCTTTATTTGGATGATTTTGATGTTTACAGTGAATGAAAAGATGAGATGAGTGCTAAAGAGGAGACTTTGTCATATGAAATATCTGTGTATGTGTGTAATATAGTGTACTTATTTTAGCATGGTAACTCTCTGACGGCACTCCTGTCCGGTTCTGTGAAAGGGTCACAGGGTTGAACGGTGCCTTTTATGCACTGGGTGGTTTGTGATACGTTAAGAGGCTTTCCTTTGGATCTTCTTGAAGACGGTTTGGAGAGAGAACAATAAAGAGAGATTTCGGACCACTTAATGTTTCTTTCTGGTGAAAATGGAGTTAATCATGTACATTTTTGTCATTACATCTAATAGTATTATGAACATGTGATTTTTACTCATAGCCATTTATATACACCTAAACAGATACAAGCCGCAGAACGGCTGTTTCTTTCGTCTCAAACAGACTGTATTAAAAAGAAAATCATGTGGAGTGCACAACTGGTTATTTTTAAATCACTGCTTTTCTATTTGCTTTATATTACTACAAGTACTGTATTTCAGCCTTTACAGGGTTTGCCTGGTTTTAGCTGCTGACATGAATTTGAAAAGGGAACCACAGAACAATTTTAAGTCTATCAGAAGAAAATATCGGTTGTTTTGCCGCAAATTGCGATCCAGAAAAAGGCTTGAGGCCTGTTTGAGTTGTATTTATTTTCTTGTATATTTTCTGCATCACACCTTGTGACCAGACAAAGAGCATCATTTCCTAAAAATAAAAGTACCTTTGAAACATCATCCTCGGATATTTTATTCAGCCATTATTTTGCATCGCCCTATAATAGATATTTGGTTCTTTTAAACATTTTTTACTACATCTTGTCATATATCACTAGTTCGGTTAGGAGTAGAAAATGTGTATTTATACAATATTGTGTAATATTGACATCTTAAAGTATACTTTATAGAATATTTACTATAAAATACAATTGACCTTGTCATACAATATGCCGCTTAAAGAACTCTGTTACCTACTGTGGATAATAGTAACAAAACAGTGACCTGCCTTTAACAATGACATAGAAAAGAAAAGAACATATATTTACCTTTAACTATAAATATGATATAATCACATGTCTCAGCTTAGAAAATCATGTTACGTTATAAACGTAAGACGGTTCAAACTACAGGTTTAATTACGAATCCAACTGAAAGAAAAATAGTGGAGCTGCTCAAAATCGCTTATTATATAATAAACAAATTATTTTCTTAACAGAATTTAAAACTCCCTGGAAAACTTGAAAACAAAAATTCTAGAATTAATTTCATGGTCAATATAATACCACAACAGAGCAATTTCACAAATTCAATATTTATGTCAGATGCTAAGAATAACAATAACACCCAAAAGAACAGAAATAGATGGGAAATCACAAACTCACTAAACGGTGGATAATGCATAAGAATAGTTATGTTATTTAAGACAAGGGGATGCCTATTTTGAACCTCACATGTGATTTATGGACATCTCTCTGCTGTTCCTGGACTGGGATATTTTACAGGTCAGGGTGAGAAGAGATCTGAGGAACATTTCCAAAGCTTTAGCTAAATCTGCAGTTATGGAACATAGCAGCAGTATGAAGAACTACATATGAATAATGAACAGATATGATGATAGACAGATAGATAGCTAGACTCATTTATTTATTTAACTATTAAATAAATAAATGGAATTATGTCTATTTTAGTGTCCCTGCATTTTTAAAAAACGTTATATTCATTCAGATATGTAAATAAATTACATTATAGTTTATTTTATAAGCTGATATTTGGCCTGAAAAGTCTGAACGAAGGTTAAAATAAGCAATGTGATTGGTTTTTAGAATGCTGTTTCACTGATTTGAGCCAATCACAGCGTTCTGGAAAATGTGAACTAAGGAGTCGCTAGAACAAAAGAATCGAAGAGTCAGAGTCGAGAAAATGACTCTTGGAGTCGACTCTCCAGTCCACTCTTCCATGTAAGTATAATTATTATAATGGTAAACAAATATATTAATAGTGCTTAATCGGGCTTTTTTCTTTCTTTCTTTCTCTTTTAATTTACTAAAACCCGTAAAGAATCTTTACACGCTTCATAAGAATCAACTCGCAAATGACTCTTGACTACGAATGACTCTCCACCAGTATTCAACATTGTTTTGAAAGACTCTCCACCAGTATTCAACATTGTTTTGAAAGGATGCATATGATGACTGGTACCGCTGTAGCGATTCGTCCGACCTCTGTATCCTTCTGCATTATTTTCTTGATGTATTTTCCATGAGGCGAAGAGGAGGATGAGTTGAGCGGTTGAGCAGCAGAGTGCTTCACACAGTGCTCATTTAACTAGGAAAATGAAGAAATACTCACGGCTGGAAAGCGAACATTATATTTTCTCTTCTGTCCGAGAGTCGAGAAAATGACTCTTAGAGTCGAGAAAATGACTCTTGGAGTCGAGAAAATGACTCTTGGAGTCGACTCTCCAGTCCACTCTTCCATGTAAGTATAATTATTATAATGGTAAACAAATATATTAATAGTGCTTAATCGGGCTCTTTTCTTTCTTTCTTTCTCTTTTAATTTACTAAAACCCGTAAAGAATCTTTACACGCTTCATAAGAATCAACTCGCAAATGACTCTTGACAACGAATGACTCTCCACCAGTATTCAACATTGTTTTGAAAGGATGCATATGATGACTGGTACCGCTGTAGCGATTCGTCCGACCTCTGTATCCTTCTGCATTATTTTCTTGATGTATTTTCCATGAGGCGAAGAGGAGGATGAGTTGAGCGGTTGAGCAGCAGAGTGCTTCACACAATGCTCATTTAACTAGGAAAATGAAGAAATACTCACGGCTGGAAAGCGAACATTATATTTTCTCTTCTGTCCGGGCGTTTTGAACTCTTAAATAAGCGTATACGGCTTACATTTGGAATAATTGTACACTTTGGAGTGCGGAGCGCCATTTGTTTACCTTTCACAGGAAGTATTGAATGAGAAGTGAATGGAGAGAACGAGCAAGGGGTCGAGCTCCTCAAAGGCAACGCCCCTGTCACGTGCGGCGTGAGATTTGTAAACAGTCCTCTAACAGCTCCTGCGTTCACTTTATTACTGAATTACCTGATGAACGAACCTGCTGCAGTGACCCAAAACTCTGCAGAGTCATTTGTATTTAGTGTATCAAGTACATATACTAAATATACAATGAGAAATGTTTGCTACTAGATGGAAAAACGCGTTTATTTATGTTTATCATTTTAACGTTAATTTGATTTATGGTAACTATTTTTCGTTGACATAACCCCGTTTGAGACTGAGACCTGCTGGTTTAGAACGAAGCAACTGCAAAAAGGGTTTTGAGTGAATTTTAGCAGATGCCAGATCCCAGTTAGTTTAAAGGGGGTCATACGATGCGATTTCAAGTTTTCCTTTCTCTTTGGAGTGTTACAAGCTG